GCAGTCTGTTTTTTATTTACCTCTGTGTTCAGCTGTGAGTTTATCCATATGTACAGGAAGTGCCTGCCTTTGGGTACTGAACCAGGAAGGTGTCCACACTTGCGGAAGCGAACCATTTGAAACCAGCGGGTGGAAGCGTTTGCGTGTACCCTTGATTGGCTGGACTCCAAAGCTGGGGCTTGTCCCTCTTTGGAGCTGCCTCCCTGGGGCAGGTGTGAGGGCATCTCTCTGAAGGGAGTGACAGCCCGTTTTGGAGCCTGGCTGTGGGGTGCGGGCTCCAAGGTCAGCCCCTCCAGGACAGAGCTGCTGGGTGGCTCACCTTTTCCTCTCCCGTTCAGCTCAGACCAGGAGAACTCAGTGAATAGCTCCGGGTTGAGCATGACATGAGACAAAGGTTACCATCCGGGATGGTGTGTACTTAAGTCCCGGGTTGTATGGTGCCTGTAATCTGAACAGATGACAGGGCTGAACGGAGCTTTTTGGAGGAGGTGATGTGAACCGGCCCTTGAAGAATGGATCTGCTCTGAAAAGGTCGTTGGGATGTAGGGACGATTTCAAGTTGGGGGAGCCCCGTCAGCAGTGGTGGGGGCCCCAGTGAGGGAAGAGAGGAGCCAGGTTCTTTGGAACATAATGTATGTGTTAGAGGTTAGAGGGTGCAGGCAGCCTTGAAAAAGGGGTAGGAGTCTGAACTCAATGCAGGGGACTACAGAGAGATGCAGAAGGCACTGGACGGCAATGGCCTCCTGGGAGCGTCTTTGCAAGGCTGAGCTGTTGCAAGATGGATTTAGAGCTGGCCCCGGGGAGCAAGGACCGGACAGGGCCGCCTTTGCTGGAGCATCGGGACGCTGGGACCACTGCCTGGCGCTGCACGGAGTCACCCTCCACCTCTCGTCTGATTCGGGGATCGTGGGAGATTACACAGCCTGCCTTGTGCAGTCACTTAACCATGACCTGCGGATTAAATCACCTATTGTGTTGGGTAATGAGTCATTCTCTGAGGCTTTTGTGTAAGCAAATGGAGTATTTTGTCCAGGTCCCAGGGAACCCGGGGACACCTTGGAAGCAGGAGATGGCTTTGAAGTGGAGTCAAATGAAATCCTTAAGCCTCTGCGCCTACAGATCCATTCATAAGTCATAGGCTGTCGATTTCGAGGGCAGAATATCTTCAGAGCAAAGAAACTTTTCAGTGAGAAATCTTGAATAGTGAGCCTGCCTAGAGCACACAGAGCTTTTTCTTGGTCTCAGTAGGTAGGGCACTGTGCATGGGCAAAGTGACTGGCAGGCGGGGGACCTGGGTCTGACGACCGGCTGGGTCACAGTCCCACTGTGTGACCATGGGGGAGCCGGAATCCACAGATAATGAACCCTGTGTTAGACGTTCCTGTGACTGCTCATTTCACCTTAAACCACCCCAGGAAACAACTTACTGATGAGGAAGTCAAGGCTCCTGCAGGGACTGCCCTGATGTGGAGAGCCTCGTGGGCCAAAGTCACGCCCTTGGGTGATGCACGCCCAGTGGCTGATGAATATATGAATACAAGGGCCAAGCCATCTCTGTCCAGTCCGGGGCAGTTCTGAAAGGTCATGCCAGCTTCAGGTCACCTGAGGCTGTCAGTGGGTCTGATCATAGGTAGAATTCTCCCCAGCCACTTGTCCTTCCTTCCGTGCCCTTCACAGGTGTGGAAGGGAGGCGTCCCCTCCCCCCGCTTTAAAAATGTCCTCCACATTAAATTCCATCTCAGAGTCTGCTTCCTGGGAGGCCCAACCCGTGTCATGCAGAGAGAAAAGGCTGAAGCCTAGAGTAGGTCCCCCTCTGAGCCTTGGTTTCTTCTTTTGCAAGATGAAAATGGTACACTGGATCAGAGGTTCTCAAACAGTGGGTCCATGGAACCCTGAAGGTGCCCAAGACACTTTAAAGATGTCCGTGAGGACAAAACTATTTTCACAATACTATTACCAATATTTATTTGCCATCTGCATGGAAGGTTCCAAGCCAATGGTGCCTCAGTAGTGGCATTAAATCATGCTGATCTAATTGCATTCTTTACCACCAAGTATAAGCATTAAAGAAAAAAAAAGCCAGTGTCACTTAAGAATATCCTTACTGGGGGCACCTGGGTGGCTCAGTTGGTTAAGCATGCAACTCTTGATTTCGGCTCAGGTCATGATCTCAGGGTTGTGAGATTGAGCCCCATGCCCAGCAGAGAGTCTGCTTGAGATTCTTTCTCTACATCTGTCTCTGCCCCTCCCACTGCTCAAGAAAAAAAAGAATGTCTTTGATGAAGCAGAAAAATTATTGATTTTATTAAATCTTGACCCTTGACCAAGTGGGCAGTAGGCATACTGAAATTCAGTGGTTGCCTTGAGAAAAAGCATCTGCACGCTTGTTCAGGTTGTAAACTGAACTAGCTGCTTTTTTCACAGAGTACCATTTTTACTTCAAAGAACAATGACAAAGAAGCCATGGCACATATTTTCTTGAAAATGAACAAAGTGAGCCTGTCACTTCAAGGAAAACAACTCACAGTATTTGTTGCCAATGATACAATTCAAGCTTTTAAGTGGCTATTAGAATTTTGGGAAACTTACATTTGCCCCCATGAGCTTGACAGCTTTCCAATACTATAGGTTAGCTTTTCCCAACGAGATCCGTGGTAACACTAACTAATGTGATTTTTGATTTTATATAATAAAGCATGTCAACATTTGGAAGACCTGCATAATTCAGCGAGCTAACAACTTTCCAAGCATAATGTCACAAACTCGTGTTCCCATAAAAGACCCATTCAATTGAGGTGCAAGATGGATCAATGAGTTTGAAAGTAACAGAGAATGAAAAGTTCATCTATATGGTACAGATTCCAAATTGCATCCAACATTTTGGAAATTACTGCTTGTTGCATTTTGGCATAGTATCCCAGAAGAATATATACGATTATCTATAAAGGCTATATAGTTATATCTTCCTCTCTGACCCTAGTTAGGAAGGGTTCTCCACTTATTTTATTTTTTTAAAAGATTTTATTTATTTATTTGAGAGAGAGAGAGTGAGCGAGCACAGCCAGGGAGAGAGGCAGAAGGAGAGGGAGAAGCAGACTCCCTGCAAAGTGTAGAGTCTGACATGGTGCTTGATCCCAGGACATTGGGATCATGACCCGAGCCGAAGGCAGACACCTAACTGACTGAGCCACCCAGGCACCCTGGGTTCTCCACTTTTAGTGATTCATGTGATTAGACTGGACGCACATGGGTCATCTCCCCATTTAAAGATCCTTCCCTTTAATCACATTTGCAAATTCTCTTTGTCAATGTAAAGTAACATATTTACAAGTTTGGGGATGAGGGTGTGGTCATTATTCTGCCCACCATCTGACCCCAAAGATTCACTTCTGTCCTACATGCAAAACACATTCACCTCATCCCAAGGTGCTCCAAAGTCTCAACCCATTACAGCATCAATCCAAAGTCTTAAAAATTTCATCTAAGTCTTATCTGCTCCAAAGTTCCAAATCTTACCATCTCAACCATCTAAGTCAGGTATGCGTGAGACTCTGGGTGTGATCCATCCTGGCGTATAATTCCTCTCTCCATGTGAACTAGAAAATAAGCTATCTGCTTCTAAAATACGATGGTGGGGCAGGCGTAGGATCACAGTTACAGATATTCTGGTTTCAAAAGGGAGGAAATCGAAGGAAAAAAAAGGAGTCACAAGTCCTCAACAATTTTGAAATCCACATGGGCAAACTCTGTTAGGTTCAAAGCTTGGAAAGAGTTCTCTGTGGTTTGTGGCTCTGCCCTCTGGGCTAATGGCTCCACCATTATTCTTGCCCATCACAGGGACCTTAATCATTTTAAGAATGCAGAGGAGTCCTGAAGCCAGAGTTTGAGAACTCTACATTAGATCAGATGTACTGGATGTTGGGGGCCAGGAGGATGGTTGAGAAGGATCCTGACGTTGTCTGGAAGAATGTGTTGTTCAGTTAGTAATGTATGCTACTGAAAGGGACATGATGACATGTGTATCATCCATAAAGGCCCCTCCAGATTTGCCAATCTCTGGCACTGTGAACACTTCTCAGAACATTCTGGAAGGACTAGGAAAATAGCCCAAGAAGTAGCAGCACAAGCCAAACTAGGACCACAATCCTTGTAAGCTGAGCTGGCCCTGGGGAAAATTGTGGGAGTTTTATTTTTATTTTTTGCTATTATCCCAACTTCTCTGTTCAGCAGTGTCTCCCCCATCACAACTTTAGGGCCCTGGCATCTTTTACCACCCTTACTTAAATCTTTTTTTTTTTTTTTAATAAAAGGATGCAACAAACTTACTATTTTTTTTTAATGAAGAGTATATGATGAGTCAGGCTAAGCATACCAGCCTTCCTGGGAGACTCAACCTTGGTTGCAAGACAAAAATCTTCAGCTAGTCAGTTTCAAACATTATAAACCCATGTGCTCCCTTCTACTGAAGCATAAAAGTTTGAGCCTTCCCATCCTGATGTAGCTCCCCGGGAGCCATGGTATTGTCTGTATATTTCTACCCATCAAGAAGATCTTTTGTTAAGTTTTATTTTCTGAAGTCTGTGTTGTGAAAACATTTTTGCGTTTTCCAAATACAAATTGCAACATTTGACTATGCTTCTACAACACTCTTCTTAATTCCCCTTGCCCCAGTCCCTGCAACCCCAGAGTTGCCTTAAAAAGTACAGTTTTCTCTCCCCACCCAACCCTCAGTTGAAGATTCCGGTCTCAGGTTGTGGCAGAATGTATTTTCCAAGATGGCACCAACAACATCTCCCATTCTCCAAAGTTCTTTTGACAACTCAACAATGTAACAACTTCTCACTGAGAGGTGAAGTCTGTATCCCCTCTAAGGGAATCTGGGCCTTCAGTGACTATGAAAGAAAGGGACACTGTATGACTTCTGAAGTGAGGTCATAAAGCAGTCCAGTCCCTGCCTGGTCCTTTTGGGACTTTCAGCCTTGAAGTCCAGCCACCAGACAGCCAGGAAGCCCAGGCTACGAGCAGAGACCATGTGTAGATGATCCAGCCAATGGTTCCAGGTGAGGTTCTAGGTAATAGGCAGCCCGCCAACCCCTGACAGGTGAGTGAAGGTCCTAATAATTGAGGTTTACCACTCGCCGCCCCAGGCATCATGGAGCGGAAATGAATTGCCTTCACCGAGTCCTGCCTAAATTGTGGGTTCACAAGCAAAATAGACGATGGTTGTTATTTGAAGCCCTCCACTTTGGGGGTGGGTTGTTACATAGCAACAGTAAAGGAAAGGGGTACAAGGATATGTCATTGGCAGATTTTGGGGAGAGATGCCTTTGGGAATGAAGCTCTGCCCCATGTCTATTTCCACCCGCCCACCCGACTACTGGGGTCCACAATGCAACTGGGGAGAGACAACCAGGACTTGGACTTTGGTCAATTACCCCATTCCTTTCCCAGTGTTATTAATCAAATCCGTGACTTTTTTTTTTTTTTTAAGGACTTTGGGTGAGTCCAGTTACTTATTTGGTCTCAGCCTCCTCTTCTCTCAGAGGAGGAGTTGGACTAAACCTCTCAGCTCCTTTCCAGCTCCGACATTCCCATTTCCTCTCTTCATTTTATTTCTCCTTTTTTTTTTTTTTCAAATTTAACAATGAAAATTGTAAACTCAACAAAATCTCCACATCTCTGTTAGTATCTAATCCACTTGGGGCAGATAAACTGCAGGAACAGCTTTTTTTTTTTCCTGGCTCTGTGAATTTGACAAGTGTGTTTGCACACCGCCTGGTGTTTTGTCTGCATTTTCTCACTTGTGGATGCCAGGAGTCCCACTGACGACACAGCATTCCAGGGACAGCAACCATTTGTCTTCTTAATTCTTTCATCCATTTTTTTCAACCTCCACCTGAAATATTTATGAATATTTTTTTTTAGGGAGTTCAAGCTAAAGAATATAGTTTTTCTTTTCAGGGAAGCTCTGATTGTAATAGATTCGTGCAGGTGGATTAACGCGTAGTTTAAGAGTTATGTGCTAGGTTTGCACACTGGGAGGCTAGTGGGTGACAGCCCAACAAAGGACAACTCAGGGGTACTATTAACTCCACCAAAATTTGGAGAAGAGATCCTGCTGTGTCTTTCTTCTCCCACTAAGTTGGTTGATTGTTTTACCCTGAGGCATGAATGGGTAGAATCACTACTTTAGGATATGCCTTTCAATTTCCAGATTTCAGGCGGAAGAGCCTTCTGGATGCAGGTAACCTACAGTGACATGATGTTGAAAACCTGTAATGTGAAATTGCCTGCCTTCAAGTGGTGGGGCACTTGGAAAAGGAGTTTGAGTGTTGGAGGTTAGCCAAAAGTTCAGCAACCATAAAGATGGGTTGACTAGAAATTGACAGTGTACTTAAAATACATCTTACATATGGACATTACAAACGAGCTGCCCCGTTCTATTTTTGATATCTAAATATTTATGAAGTGTGTATTAATAAATACTGGGAACTCATATATGTTTTTCATCTGGTAGTGGTTATTTGGGATTTTGAATGATCTTTTCCTTTAAAAGATGCCCATCATAAATATTTTATATACACATCTGTATCTTTGACATATAAGAATCTGTAAATAGAAAATCACAAAAATGGATGCAATTTAGAAATATGTTTCTGGACTGTAACATAATCTGAAAAGTGAAGGTATATAGGAAATTTGTTGATGCCATATTCTTCAGCCCTGGGGACGCTTAGCTTGATGTTAGTTAAACTGGATTTATACTTTTTTATTGGGGAATTGAAATCACTTTCACTCATTATTGTAACTAATACATTCGGTTTTACTTTTATCATATTATTTCATGCATTTGGTCATTCATATTCCATTATTTTGCCTTATGGGCCAAATTTTCTTGGCTTTTATCTTCTCTTGTGATAGTCGATAATATACAGCCAATATTCAATCTTAATAATTGGTTAATTGTACAATTTTCAAAAACACCTTTGCTTGTACATTTCCTATGCTTATTAAATGCAGGGATAATACAAGACCTTTTGACTCCTCTTTCTGAAATGAGGAATTTGTGATGTGTTTAGCTGTTCCCGCTCAATTTTTAGGCCATACCAATATCATCTGAGGTACATGATATTGGTATGTACCATACATGTATCCCACATACATGTATGGGATACATGTGTTTATTAATATTGACAATTTTTAATAATATATAACCTGTTTTTTAGGAATCCCTGTAGACTTGGACATTCATTTAATTACCATATTTCTCTCAATTATTTAGACAAACTCTGGTTAATGATCACAGTTCTTCATTTTATAACTCTTCAGATCTTGAGTCCTTACTTTTTTTTTTTTAAGTAGGCTCCATGCGCTATGTGGAGCTTGAACTCACAACCCTGAGATCAAGAGTTGCATGCTGTACCTACCAAATCAGCCAGGCACCCCAAGTCCTTACTTTTGATCCATCTGCCAGGTTAGGGATTATAATTTTGGTTAAAGGTTCTGGGAGAAGTGTGTCAGTAACAGAACTTTCTGTGGTGTTACCTCAGACTGCCTTTCCTTTGCCTTGACACATGAACAGCATGGGGGGCAGGCAAAGAATTCCTAGATCACAGAATTCCCCCTTAACACTCGACAGACATTGCTTTGGTTTTTTTTCTCTGTTTGCATTGATAGAATCTGTTGCCCTCTACATTTTGGTTCTTTTGCAAGAACCTGTATTTTACTTTTTGCTTAGCTTAGTGGCATTTCCCTCCAACCTCGATATTGAAAAATGCCACGAATCTGTGTTCTTGTCTCTTTTCCTAACTTTACTTAAAACAGAGTCCTTTTGATTTGCACGTCCAGGTGTTTTTTTTTGAGCACAGGAAAACTGCCTCCTCCAAAATCACTGATTTTTCTTTTCTTCCACGTACTCCACTTCCTTCCTTAGGAATACTGCTAATCTAGGGATTAGACATTGGATTTCTAGCCCATATGTGTATTATCTCCTCACTTATTATATTGATATTTCTGTGCTTCCCACCTCCCTCCATCCTACTGAGTTTACCTGGTTAACCTTGTCCACTACCAATTTTTGCCACGTTAAATTTTGCTTTTTTAGTGCTTCCAATGTGGATTTTAATTCTGTTACTGTTTTTAGCTTCCTTGCATTCTTCCAATCTCTGCCAGCCTGTTCTTCATCTGAGCCTACATCTCTGATTTTTCATCATTCAAAAGAGTGCACTTGTCATGATGAGTATGGAGTAATGTGTGGGATTGTTGTCACTATCTTGTATACCTGAAACTAAGAGAACACTGTATGTTAACTATACTGAAATTCAAATAAGAAATTTAATTAAAAAAGAAAAAACCTTGATTTATGAAGTTTCTTAATTGTTTAAAATTGATACACTCTGAACATTTCTTCTGTTTCCTGCAATCAACTGATTTCCCAGGTAAACTTTTCTTCTGCACACTTAGGGCAAAGTTTTGATGTGCATATTAGGCAATTTTTTTATAGACCTACTTTCTCCCCCGTGTGTTTGTGTGTCTCTTCTTTTTTTAAAAAGATTTTATTTATTTATTTATTTGAGAGAGAGCATGAGCACACCTGAAGTCTCCCCAGCCTGTTTTATTATCCACACCCCCACCCTTCACATCTGAGCCTCCTCTATTCCCACTCTGTAGTCATCATGGTGGGAAAGGTAGTGATTGCAGATTTCAGAGCTTTATAGCTTATAGATTCAAGCACCAGAAAAGCTCTGACATTTCAATTTCCTTCCCAAATTCCCAGGGAATAATACTGGACTAATTTGAATCAATTACCCATCCTGGGACCAATCAGATGTGGCTAGTAGGTGGAGTCTGGGAAACGAATTGTGATTGGCCAAGCTTAAGTCGGTTGCTTACTCTTAGACCAATCAGCTGCAGCTAAGAGTGCCCCCAGCATATTGAACAAAATGGCTGCTCTCTGAAGAGCTACAAGAAGGAGAAAGATGGGGAAGGGTACCTTCCAGAAGAGCCAGGAGGACTGGAGAGACAAAGCAGTGTGTCCCTTGTACAGAGCAAAGATGATAAGGATCTCTAAAAGAAGGCACATTATACTTAGCTTTTCCCCAGATATATTTGGCCACAGATACTTCAGTTTTGAAGGAGCCTCTTGGGAATGAGTATTGTGAGGAGGTGATGTTCCAGAGGGCACAGAAAGAGAAGTGAGGAAAACAATGGGGTGGGTAAGGGGAAGTAGAGGAGCTCTGGCTGGCTAAGGAAGCAGATTTTATATTAGAGAGGGGGCTCACTGCCTTGGTTTCTGGCTGGTGGTTTAGGTTCTGGGTCTCTGAAGTAAGGGTTCACAGTGGTGGTGTTGGGGTAGAGCCTTCTGCCACCTCCCACCTGCCTTACCATATCCTTACTATCGAAGTCTAACCTGGAAGGACATTTCCATGTTTCCAAAAATCCCAATTTCCTTAGCAGGTGTTTTCTGCTTGAAGATGATTCCAGGACCTTCTTCTAGGATCCACACATCTGGATGGAGCTCTTGGCTCTGAATTTTGTCCTTCTCATTGGCCCAATAAATAGTAGAAACAGTATATAATCATCATTTTACCATGCAGATATATGACTGCCATTTGTTAATGATGAGATTTATTGCAATAAAATTTATCTGCTCCAGTGTCCTTTTTAATAAGGTAAAGTAGATAGTGCACTTCTAGTTTAATGTGCTGTGTATGACTTGAATCAGGGATTTCAGCTGAACTGTAGCTGGCTGGTGTCTGTGCTCTCAGCTCACAAAAAAAGTAGACTTTCTTCCACTCTTAGCAAAGCTCCTTAACCATAAACAGGATTATCTGAAAGAGCTAAGGGCAGCTTGCTGGGGGTTGGGGTAACCAGGAAACCCACAGATCAGGGGTGTGCAAGGTTCTTTTCAGTTATGCATGTTGTCCAACTGACATCTCCCCAGGAGACTCAAAGAGCTAAGCTATTCTGGTTAAAGAAGTCCCACATTCAGCTTGTATCTCTGCCACCAACATGGCCCTGGGTAGGGCTCCCTGGATTCAGCCAAGCATAGTTTGATAGC